GAAAAAAAAGAACACCTAGACGACGGTTTCGATAAACTGATTAAAATCGCTAAAAATGAGTTAAAAAATTGTAAAAATCGCCAAGAAATTTTGAAAATCGGCATAAAATATGCAAAACTTGCTAAAATTTGTCAAAAGATCAAAAAATTTCATCAGTCATCGGAGTTTTTTACTTTTTTTAAAAATTTGCTTCATATTTTTGTCTGTTTATACAATGTCTGGAAAAACATTATAAACTAGCTTTCGAAGTCAAGTCTTCAAGTACAGCAGTAGTAGTATTTACCATTCCATAACAATACGAAGGAAATAAATGAATAAGGCAAATACAACAACGAAGAATGCTAGCAATGTGTACCTGAAACGATGAATGAATCTGTACAGTTGGTGGTATTTGCCATCTCTGTGAGCACCGGCTATCATCCGTTTGTACAGTGATCGTTCTTGCTCACGACACAGTTTTAGTCGCACCTTCAATCGCTGCAACTCCTTGATGATCAGCTGAAATGATCCCCCCTTATCACCGATATTTTAGAATTAAAACGAAAAAAACAAACTCATAATGCCCATGCATTTAGCCCTACTTGAACGCTGCCGGCAATTATACCTTTTTGAAAACATTACACAAACAAATTGCTATAATGTTCTTAATTTTCTTTGGTTTGTACGGGTCGTTATTTCAGAAGGTCTGGTTCGGCTTTCTAGGGATTCTCTATTTCTATAAAATAGGCTTACTTGCATCTATTTCGTCCTCATTCTGCCTCTGCCTACTTCCCTGAACTTCTATTACAGTGTTCAGCCTCACTGCGTATTTTTCGTGTAAAGACTCCTTGTTCTTGTAAACACAATTTTTTCAGTCGATCCCAACCTTAATTTTAATATTAATCGCTTAATAAGTTCAAGGTCGTGCATGTAAATCAATTAGTATGTACTTTGATCAGCTATCGTTTCACTCTAGCATCAGGCCACTCTGAAACTGATTTTGCTGATGACCAGCGTGTTGGTGTTCACAGCAATCATATTCCATGCATTTCTTTGTTCCTCGGTACAGAAATGCATAGTTCATCACATTTTTCAACTAATGATTTTGTCTTTGATCTACCTATACGGCCTCTAACTTATTAAGCAATTAATATTAATGTTGGAATCGACTGAGAAAATTAATTGTGTTTACGAACACAGTGAATCTTTACACGAAAAATACGTATTGAGACTGAACAGTGTAACAGGAGAAGTTGAGGGGAATAGGCAGAGGCAGAATGAGGACGAAATAGACACCAAGTAAGCCCACTTTGTAGAAACAGAAATAGAGAATCCGCAGAAAGCCGAATCAGACCTTCCGAAATAACAATCTCGTTCTAGCAGATTATCAGTTTTCTATTTATATTTGGAATACCTAGAGCAGCAGTAATTCTTGGTATGGTTTTTCCTTCTCCTTTCGCCCACAGATCTCTCCAGGGGAGCATAGGAATTTCACTTACGAAGAATTAGAATAGGATTGTCGGCGAAGCCGAGGAATGTGTACTTTGATGATTATGTGTCGTGATAATCCTCAAGGTATTTGTGACGGATACTTCTAAATGCTTTTTGGTTTTCCTACGTTTTGATGTTTGGGATTAGCGGGAACTATAAGAGCGATATGGGCGATCCTCTCCCTATCGCCCTTTTTCGAATCACTTTTTCGGAACTGGAGGACCCAAGGATCCCATTCGTTACGTGGGGAGCCCGTCTTGTCCTACTGGTAGCTCGTACTGCACTATCGGTGGTCCGTCCTGTGCTACTGAAGCAACGGTAGTCCATCCTGTACTCCTGATAAATCAGCGTAACTCTTTCGTTCTGAACCGCCCAGAGAAGAGAGTTTTTTCCCCGACAACGGTTGTTGACCAATTCAATACAGCATAATCACACAAAATGAACGGAAATGGGATGAGTACCCTAAAAACAATGCACAAAAATTCTTAACCGTTGCAGTTCACGCAACGTCAAAAAAAAAACAAATACTTACCTCATCACTGGGATCAATTTTATGTGCGCTGTTCAGAGCCTCAATTGCCTCTTCGATGAAATTCAAGTTAGCGTAAGCATTTGCACGTCTGAACAGTGCTTTAGTATTGCTGGCATTCAGTTTCAGTGCATCATTTGAGGCATCCAAAGTCGATTTCCAGTCACATAACTGCAAATACACGATTCAATTGTTACCATGTTTCTATATATAT